CTCTGCCCTCATCCTGTCTGCTTCAGGGAAGAAGCCACCGTTTTCTCCCAAAGAACGTCGACCCCGTGAGTTCCCACGGAGGCTGGGTGGGAGTGGAGGTTCCACACCCGGCCCTCAGGCAGCCCTTCTCAACACTTCCAGTCCCTTCCAGTCCCTTCCATGCCCAGGTCATCTCCACCTGAGCTTGGAGCTGGAGGGCGAGGGGCCTCCTCCCTCTTCTCTGCCGTGAGAGGGTGGTGGGCACTCCTGATTTCCCCCATTCCACTCTCCCCGTCCAGAACCCCTGCCCGGAGACCGACGCTGGCTTCCTCTCCCGCCTGTCTTTCTGGTGGTTCACAAAGTGAGTTGGTTCTTCCTCTAGGCTGGGCCAGAGGGAGGGGTCCAGGAGATCGGGGGTGAGAGGGAGGAAGGGGAGCAGGCTGGAAGTTCAGGGGCCGGCAGAGCTGGACCTGGCTGGCCCCTCCCACCTAGACCCCCTCCTCAGTGGCCATGGGGCAGGAGAGGGTGGGGAAGCCTGTTTGTTTGGGCTGGAGGCTGAGTGCAAAGCCAGGCCTGGTCTTGGGTGTCCTGCTGTGGTGTGTGTCCTGGGCTGACCTCTGGCCTCAGCAGAGGTCATCTGGCAGGTGGCGAGGACAGGCCCAGGGGCTAAGGAAACCTTAATTAGCGCTAAGCTCTTCTGTCATCTCCTCGGCCACCCGCCACCCGTCAGAGTGGCTTGAGCAGGATAATTGTGTCTGTGACCTGAGTGACAGCTCACTAACCGTGCTGCATTGAAGAGGGCCCCAGCCAGCGGGCACTTCATCACCAGGACCCAGGGGTCAAGGGGGCATCTGGGGAAGAGGGAGAGAAGGGGCCTGAGATAGGAACTTGGGGTGGGAGGCAGTGACCTCCAGCCTGCTCACGGGGGCAATAACGGAGACACCTCCCTAGGGAGCCCCTTCTTTCTGGACACCCTGGTCCTAGTTCCAGGCTGCTAAACTCTGCCCCCATGTGGGGCCATCTGCCTGCCCAGGCTGGCCATCCTTGGCTACCGGCGCCCCCTGGA